TTTTGAAAATAAGACCGTCCGCCTCAGGGACTTCTGCTGATCCCTCATTTGCCAGATTTAAGGCACATGCCCACACATAGCTGCCAGGGAGCCTGGCAGAGGAGCTCTTATTTTTCACATCCCCTGCAGTAGCAAGTGGGTTGAAATGGACGTTTGGGAAGAGTGAACCTCTAGGGTCTGCCACAGCCTGGATACACAACATGTGTTACTCAAATCTCACAACTACGTTCCTGGAGGCTCTTTGGAGGAGCATCATAAAGGCAAAAGGTCAGGCTACAAATGGGTCCTTGGCTGGGAAAAGGTCAAGTTATGCATGTTTTCTCTTCTGTACCCCTGAAAACATGTGGGCCAGGAGGACCAACAAGGTTGCCTCTGTCCCTGAAAACAGGGTATTTCTATCCCTATTGAAACCGAAATTCTAGCAAAGGAAACTAGGTCAGCTTGGAGGAGAAGCTTCCGGCTGTCTTGTTGAAAAACATACACTAATATCCTGGTTATAAAATTAAGAATTGTCATTGCACTTGGGTGGAGGCTGGAGGCCACTCAGACTAAGCTTCCGCGGGGCATCGCCTGCCTGGGTTCAGGATCCTCAGCTCTCTTAGCCCACAAGTGTGGTCTTGTCACCGACATAGAGAAGTTCTGTGACATCATCACCTCTGGTTCTCAGGGATGGACACAGGCTAAACAAGCTTGTGTGAGACTGTGGTTCCTCATTTACAGTGAGAACCAGAACCACTGCCCAGGCCAGAGGCTCGGCTCGTTAGGGCGTTCACCCATCAGAAAGAATGGAAGTCTGTGAGGAAGACAGGAATGTCACTCACGAGTGGATGAAAACAGAGCTGGGGGAGTTGGCTGGGTGGCACCAGTCAGTTGCAGTACTCACGGCGCACCTGCCTTTGGGTGCAGCCCGTCCTATAAGACACCGTCCTGTAAGACAGCCTTGTCTTCACAGCCGTGAATTAGGTCAAGCGTGAGCACTAGGCTGCATGTTGACTGTTCACGTATCAGTTACCACAATCCTGCCTTTGTGAAAACCCCTGACCTTGATGAATGTGGGTTTGTGAAATTCCTCAGCCACCTATTTTCCATCCATCTTAGGGTAGGCTGGGTCTAGGTTCTTTTTGTCCTTACATTTGAATTTTCCATAATTTCACTGTGGGAGGGTGACCTAAAATCCTGGCGTTGCCTTCCCCATCCACTGGCCAGGGTACTCTGTGTAATGAAAGCAGTTGGGTGAACTGTGAGTCAGGGGGCTGGTGTGCTTAGCCCTGTTTTGGGCTCACTCGGGGGTCGCGGCAGGTCATGTCCCTTCTCTAGCCTTTAGTTTCTTCCTCAGCTGGTCTCCGAAGTCGTCTTCTCTTTCCCACATGCTGAGACCCCTTGCTCTCAAGGGGGCTGGGGAGAGGCTGGCATCCTCAGATCTGTAGTATAACCTCATCTTGTTTGCCCATCTCATTTTTCAGATCAGGAACATCTGGATAAAGAAATGGAGAGGCTCCGGAAACAACTTAAAGTGAAGGTCAATCGCCTGTTTGAGGCCCAAGGTACTGGCCTGGGGGCTGGGGGTGGGGCTGGAAACCAGGAGGGGAGACAACCATCGACACGGACTTTGAAGGCAGGGGTGGGAAGCCCCTCCAGGTGGGCGGTGACCCGGGCAGTGGGTGAGTGGCACTGAAGCTGTGGGCAGTGGGCAGGGTTGTCTCGAGCCGCCCAGAGATGGAATGGACGGGAAGTTTGTGGGATCTTATTCCTGTCACAAGTTGTTTTCAGGCACCAGGAATGGCCTGGGATATCTCACATTCATGCCAGGGCATGGTGTCGGGACTGGGATAGCTCTGACTAAGGGTCAGAAGGCCTCAGTCAGGTGGTCCAGGTTAGAGCTGAATTTCTAGGTAAACCAAACCACTCCAGATTGGTCACAGTCTGGTGCAAATCTGGAGGCTTCTAGACAGCAGTCATGACTCTGCAGGTTCTTGGTGACTCAGGAGCAGGTGTCGATGCACATTGTTCAGTGCATTGCAGAATTTGAGGTCCATTTCTGTCAGACCTCAAGGCCAAGTGTTTGGCAGCATGAATGCAGTGTAAGCCCCTTTCCCAGGCCTGACTCCAGGGCCAGCAGGTTGGACAGCAGGACCCCCGACTCGCTGATGAATTGTCTTCTCTTCCTAGGCAAACCGGAGCTGAAGGGTTTTAACCTGAACCCCCTCAACGAGGATGAGCTTAAAGCTCTCAAGGTCATCTTGAAAGGATGAAATTTAAGAACCAAAGTGGGGGACCTAAGACCAGCATCCCCCCTGGGATCATGGAGGACCTAGAACTCTCCAGCCTTGACACCTGCAAGGACAGGATCTACTCTGCAAGGGGACAGTTGTGAGGAATCTGGCCATAGCCCTTGTACGAAGCTTCTTTGTCTGTAGCACTTGGCTATTTTGTGACGGCAGGAGGGAACCCTCAGCCTGCCAGTATCTGCCGGGCCTGACCACTGGGGCTGGGTGGACACAAGGCCCATTGACAGGCCCTGGCAGCCACCAGGAGGTGGGAGGGGGCAGCGCTTGTGGGGGTGTGAGAATGACTGCAACAGGCACTTCTCAACAATGGCCTGCTATTGAAAGGGGCCCCGGGCAGGGGGAAGAGTGGGAGCTTCATTCCAGCATTCCTCTCAGAAGGAGAGAGAGGCATTTTCAAGCAGTGTGTGTAACGGAATTGGAATAAAGCAGGAGGCTCAGAGAAGGCTCCTGTCCTGAATGAAGGACAGAATCTTGGTGCTTCATGGTCCGCCATAGGCAGACACACAGTCCCCCTGCACTGCCTCCATTTGGGCCCATCTTCCTGCTTGCCCCCAGCACAGAGCCCAGAGCAGGTGCTGCTGATCAGCCTGCTGCGGCTGCTCTGGAGTCAGGAAGGCCTTGCAGAGTCCTGCACCAGAGGTGGGTGAGGGGCCGCGTCTCACTGTGCTGCACTTGTGCAGGGTGTGCCTCCACCGGCTCTGAAAGCAGGGCCTGGGCCAGTGCTGCTCGGAGTTCCCATCTGCCCTCAGGGTCTGCGATCCTGATGGGAATGTGCCGTGAGGGGTGTCTTTCGTGTGCCTCGAGGGCTCAATAAATGTTACCTATGTGAATGAATAGCAGCTTCTAGTCTTCACCTCATTCAGTCCTTAATTGCCACTCCTTTAGGATACCATCTATGAAGGGGCAGTGGTTCCTCCTTGAATTGATGTCAGGATTAGATAGGCAGTAACAGCAGAAGGTGGCAGGATGGAGAGGGCACTCCATTTGGTTCCAACCAAGTTATATGGGGAATCAAGCTGGCATGGCCAGATCCTGTGTTTTCTTCAAGATAATCTAGAAATTTAGATTTTTAGGTTGAATCCTCTGTTTTTTAAATACTGCTAATTCAGAAAATTTTTTACAACTTGGGTGTCGGCCAACAAAACACTTTACATAGGTCGAATTTGGCCCAGACCTATGATTTTGCATCCTCTTGAGTTTTCTTAGTAGAATTTGCTGGGTTTTCCCCATAATGACCCTAAGAAGTAGGGAGGTGGAATTGGAAACTAAATGTCTGTCCACAGTAGATTAAAGAAATTGATAACTCCAAACAGTGCAATACTATACAGCTGTAATCAAGAATGAAGAAGCTCTGAGCACTGATTTGAAACAAGCTCCAAGATACATTAAAGTGAGAAGTAAGGACAGGTGTCTAATCTCATAATTTGTGTGCAAACAATTATGTGGTTCCTTTGGAATAGAAACTGCATGGTGGGGCACAGGGTGCAAGGGAAGGACATGTTGCTGTTGTATATTTGAAAATGGGGAGTTGTGGCGTTCACTTTGGTTGATGCTGTCTCATATGACTGCCTGGCTCACAGTTGGTCTGTCTGAACATTGCCACTGCCTGTCTAGCTGAGGGTGGATGCTAGGCCAAAGAAGAGCCAATCAGATTCTTTCTCCTGGAAAGATGTGGAATCCATGCCTGGGGTTGTCTGGGCTTGCCCCAGTCCCAGGGATGAGGGAAGTCCCCACACTCTGGAGGCAGGAGGCCCGGAATGGCCTGGCTTCAGGGGCTTCCCAAGGCAGGCTGATTCACTTAGATTTCCCAGTATTTTCCTTTCAAAAGCCCTCCCCACTTCTCCCCTTTCTTTCCTTCCACAGTCAGATTCTTGCAGCCAAAAGAACTGTCCTGAAGAGGGGAGAGTGATAGAGGGAGCTGACTAGGGTCCTTGGTAGGTTGCCCTGGAGCAATTAGCCACCAGCCCACTCTTGCTGCAACTTCTCTTCAACCTAGAGGAGGCGTAGGAATGTGGAAAATGCAGACATTCTTACTTGTGCCCAACTCCCCAAGCCATCTCTGCCTGCCAGCCCAAGGCTTTCTGGTCTAAAAAGCTCAGCTCCCAACCTCAAACAGGAAGGCTCAGAGAAGCACCTAGGTCACCCATCTGACTTCGATAAGTGCACCTTTGCAGAGACTGTCTCTAAGTAGCTCTGCCTTCCTGATCCTTACCTTGTCCGTGGGTTCCCTGACACGCAGTCAGGGTATTGTAAGGACGGCAAGATGTACATAAGGCTCAGGCCTTCCCCAGACCCCCAGTAAACACACAATCTAGTAACTGCTTGCTTTGCAAACACAGCTTAAGTTCCATAAACCCTGAACCCTTGCTCCTGGAGGATCTTTTCAACACTGATCCCTCCCCCCCCCCACCGCGGGGAGACATCAAAGGGTCAAAGCCAGGAAGATTTGGTTGCAGCCAACAGCATCCCCTGAGCCAAGCCTGGAGCCCGAATAAAGACTGTGATCCTTTATAAGATGTGATCTCTGGGGTAGCAGAACTTGCTGCATTTGTCCTCTTCGGGCCTGACCGCCAAGCCAGCTGATCCGTCAAGGTTAAAGTCTATCCAGTCCTGGGGATTGGCTCTCTCCTGGTGCAGAGATGCCCAGGGTAGGGTGGGGGTGCCAGGCTAGCAAAGCAGCTGCCAGGCCGGAGGGAGGGGGAGGGAGGGAGGTGAGTTCTCTGAGGTGCTGCTGTGCTGGAAACTGGGAGCAGGGAGAGAACTGGTGTGGCACCTCCCCTGGTCGCTCTCCTCTGTGCTGGGGATTAGTTGGGAGTTTTCTTCTGGCCTTGAAGGGAGCGGAACAGCTGCCTCAGCTGTTTTTTCCGATCATTGACGCAGCCTGGAAGGGAAGTGGAGCGTTGCCTGGGATGGGCTGTCCCAAGTAGAGGGGGATTTAGGGGGAGTGGAGGGGCCTGTGCTCCCACTACCTGCGGGAAGAGGGGATAGCAGGAGCCATGCAACCACGGATGGCCTATGGTTTGCATCCTGGCTCCTCTCCTGCCTGTCATGGCCCTTAGGCAGGTCATTTACCTCTTTGAGCATCCGCTTTCTCGTCTGTAAACCAGGATACCTGCTTTATGGGGTGAATGTAAGGATCATCAAAAGAAGGTAATATTCACTGGGGGCTTACCTCAAACCAGGGGCTGCTTCAGGTCCAGGATGTGGACTGACTTGTTGAACTTTCACGGGAATAACGTGTACAAGAGAAAACTGAGGCTCGGCGAGGTTAAGTAGTTTACTCCAAATCACACAATAAGTAGCAGGACTGAGGGCTGAACCCAGGCTATCAAGCTCCAGAGGCCCAGCCCTTAACCACCACCCCACATTGCCTTACCTTCTGGCTTTGCTCTGAAAATGCACTTAAAGCTAGCACAGTGCCTGGTACCTAATTGGTTAAATGTTAGTTTCTTCCCTTATCCAACCCCATGTGTCAGGCACTTTCATCTAAGAGATGGCTCTTCCCCACAGGTGGCCCCTACTCTCATGAAAATGTGTCCCAGGCAGTCCTGACATGACCCCCCTTCTCTGAGCATGTTCACAGTGTTCCCTCCCTTTTGCGCTCAGAGCTGATCCTTGAGGCAACTCCGTGGTCATTTGATCTTGGGCCAGGCACACTGATGGCACTCACGAATGGTGGCTGACTGACTGAATCCCCATGGGGACAACTACTGACCTGGAGGTGTCTGCCATCTTCTCAGCACCCCAGAGCCCCATCCCTGCCTCCTAGGCACTCACCAGCCATCAAGGCTTCACTGAGCCAAGAGTCCACTAAATGCATCCTCAGGGTTTTCCAAAGTGAGTTCCATGGAACCTTAGCTTTAACTGTAATTGACTTATTCATAATTCTCAAACCTTTGTGTCCAGTGCAAATCTCTTCTTGGAGTTCTAGACTCATCTCTGAGTTATCTGTTTATCTTTTCACCAGTCTCAACACATCCCTAACTCATTTCATCAGTACTCTTCCACCCCCAGCCAGCTCCTCCTGTATTCAAAACCACCCACCCAGACACTCAACTGGAGACTTCTGAAGCACTGGCTCTCAACCTAAGCTGTGCTTTAGACTTATCTGGGAGCTTTGAAAAATACTGACGTCCAAAGATATTTATCTCCAACAGGCATCAGTATTTTTTTTTTTTTGGCATCAGTATTTTTTAATTCTCTCGCATGATTCTGATGTTCAGCCAAGGTGGAGAACCACTGTTCTGAATCTTTGCTACTCAAACAGGGTCCAGGAACCAGCAGCATTGATATCTGAGGTGGACTGTTAGCAAAGGCGGCTGCAATGATCCTCCCAGGCCTATATGCACCTCTCTGCAAAGTGTGCCGCTCCTCCCAACAAGAAGTTGAGTCTATCTCCTTGTCCCCAGAATCTGGGCTGGACTGGCTTTGGCTAATGGATTGTGGTGGAATGACATTGTGGGATTTCTGAGCCTAGGCCTCAAAAGGCTTCGCTACATCTTCTCTCGCCCTCTTGGAGCCCTGAGACTACCATCTGAAGAACCTGGGGCAGGGCTGCTGGAGGATGAGTGGCCACCTGGAAAGAGAGGCTGCTGACGTCAGTCTCAAGCACCACACATGTGAATGAGGCTATTCTAGACCATCACGTCTCAGCAAATCTGCTAGGTGCCTGCAGCCCTGTGAGAGACCCCGGGCGACACCTGAAGAATCATAAGCAAATAAGATAGTTGTTTTAAGCTGCGAGGTTTTAGGAGGGTTTGTTACACAACAGTAGCTTGTTAGGTATGCAGGCTCTTAGCCCCCTGCTCCAGACCTACTGAGTCATAACTGCATTTTTAACAAGATTCCCAGGTGATTGCACAACTTGAAAGCATTGTATAGTCATCCTCCAACAACACCATGGGCAGGTACTAGGGGTCTGCTGTGAGAAAACCATTCACAAACCTTCTCTCCCTTGCTTTCCTGAAGGCAAACTACTTGACTTCCCAGGCTTCCTTGCGGCTGAGGTGCCATGTGACCCAGCTCTAGTGGGTGGGAAGTCAGCAGAGGTTGCTGGGAGGGCTTCCCTTTTGGAATAAAGAGTCAAAGCTTGAAAGAAAGGCTTTGGCCCTTGGGCCTTCCTGTCTCTTCCTGCCTGAGACAAGGACACGGTGTCTGGAGTTGGAGCAGCCGTTTTGTAGCCATGAGGCAACAAGCATGAGCATCAAGGCAACATGCTGAGAGTGGCAAAGCAGAAAGAGGAAAGAACTGGGTCCTTGTGCAGCTGTTGTGTACGGCCTACCCCATGACTTCCTGTGGCTTAAGATAAATCAGTTCCTATCTGTATAACTATTAGTTGGCTTGTTAGTGTTTGCAGCCGAACCCAATCTAAAAGATACTTAAAACTTCTTTTCATCAAAAAAGAGGAAAAAAATGCCACAAACAAAATTTAAAAAGCAAAATGACAAACTCAGGAAAATGTTTACAATAAGTTTGACAGAGGGATGATATCCTCAATATATTAATATCCAAGGCCTTTACAAATTTAGAAAAATGTAAGCCCATTGAAAAATAGAGTATGGACAGCTTACAAAAGAAGAAATGCAAATTTAAAATCTGAAACCCCACCCATAATCAATGGAATGCACAGAAAACAAGTCAATATTTTTACCTATGAAGTTGGCAAAGGTTTTTTGTTGTTTTAAATTCAGAACTGGCAAATTTGTGTAATATTTCTAAGAAAGCAATTTGACTGTAATAAGTCCATTCTTTTGACCCAGTAATTCTATTCCTAGGAATCTGTCCTAACGAAACAGCCAGAGTTTCAGCTGAGCTTTATGTGAGAGGATGTTCTCACAGGATTATTTATAAAAGTGAGAAACTGGAATCATGCCAAATGCTCGATTATATGAAATTGATTTCATAAATTTGGGGATGTTTTACAGCCATATGGTAATTTTGGTTTTAATTGTGCTAAGGGACAAGCACTAGCAGCCAAGCATTCGGGTTTTGGAGTCACAGACAGATCAGGGTTCAGGTCCCCGCTCACCACTTACAACCAAGCCCATCAGCAAATGATGTAACATCTGGAGGCCATTTCCTCATCTGTAAAAGAATAAAAGCTGCCTAAAAATTAAATGAGATAACGTATGTAAAATAGGTAGTCTGGACCTGGCCATACAATGTTTCCAAAAGAGAAGCTCTTGTTATTGAATGAGATGAAAAACGCTACATGGGAAATTAGACTCAAAGCTCCAGCCCAATGCCAATTTTGTAAAAGAAAAAGCATGAATATATGCATTTTTGAAAAACTGGATGGAAATACACCAGACTGTTAAAGATGGTTACGTCTGGATGGGTTTTTTTTTCATTTTCTTCTTTAATTTTCAAATATTCTACAATGAGTATGAATAATTTTTATAGTCAGGGAAATTTTTCACTTTTGAAAAACAAAATTTAAAGTCAAGCCCCGAAGTCCTTAATTTGTCTTAACAACATATCATGCTTTTTGTTTGGGTGCCACTTAGGCCTTTTGAAATCCACCTCGTGACAGATTAATAATATCTCTCACTACGACATATATTAAGTCAGAAACTATTTAATCTCTGTTTTACAGATGAGGAACAGAGAAGTAAGTCCCTTGCCCAAGGTCACACAGCTGGTAAATTGTAGATCAAATTAAAACAGTCTAACCACTGTGGCAAGCTGCCTCTTAGACTACTTGGCACCTCCCATGGCTCATCCCTGGTGCCCACTCCCCACCTGGCCCCACATACCAAGGTGCGTGTTGGTCACAAAGTTCCCCAGCCCTGACAGGTCATGAGCCCCGTCTTCTCTGCTGACAGGGCCATCGTTCCACATGAGGTCGAAGCCTCCCACTCGCTTCTCCCTTCCCGTGAGTCTGGACAGGCAGGAGACAAAAAGGTTAATGAAGGTGCACCTGGTGGGGCCCTAAGACTCAAGCTAGGTCCCTGACTGTTCCCTGCACCCGACTGGTGCCCACCCTGTCAGAGTACCTTCTTTTGTCCATCCATTCACTGGCCGTTTCCCAGGCGCCCACACAGCCCTCAGAGGGGTCATCCCCCATTTGTCCCCAGGCTTCCACACTTGCCCCCAGTAACATGCGCCTATTCGTGCTTTCTGGTTTAAAGTCTGCTGTTCTTCCCAGACCACAGACTCCATGAAGTCAGGGACTAGGCCTGTCGTGTCCTTTATTGTGTCCCCAGTGTGTGGCACAAGGCCTAGCATATAGTAGGGGCTCAAATGTTTGTTGAATGAATAAGTGATGGTGGATATAGTGGACACCTGAGGTTCTGCCTGCTCAGCATACATTTCACCATTTTTTAGCCTGTGGGTACCTGGGTTTTTCTTCAGAAAACCATGCCTCCCTCTCTCACTCTCATGGCTCAGGTGGGGTTAACCCCACCCCCTGGGAGGTGGGCACAATACCTAGGCCAATCAGAGTCACAGTGATTGGTTCCGGGATGGGCATGCGACTCAATCCCCACCAATGAGCAATGAGAGTCAGCCCTCAAACTTTTGCCAGAATAATTGGGGAAAAGTTAATACGGAGGAAAGAGATGAGAGAGAGGGAAGTGAGAGCAGACAAACCAGCCAACACTGCCTGAGCCATTCCTGAAGTCAAACCCTGGATCTTTCTATTATATACACATCATTATATCAGTAAATAGCCTCTTACTGAGCACTTTCTGTGAGTTACACACTTTATAATAAATTATCTTGGTAAATTAATCTAACAAACCTGAGAGGTAGACAGATATGAAATCTCCCATTTTACAGATGAGAAAACTGAAGCTCAGAGAGGTGAAGTGAGTGGTTCAGGGTCACACAGTCAGGAAATATTGAGGAAATCCTGCTGGACCAAATCTCAGAAAGCTGTCGTTGGCCTGCTCTGCTGGGACAGGGCTGAGTCCCTGGGCCAGGATCTGACCCTGTGTGCACATTGCAGTCTCTCCATCTGTAGAATGCTGGGGCGGGGTGGACAGAGCCATCTCTGAGGGCCTCTCAAGTCCCAAGGTTCTGAGTTCTCTATCCTCCGTGGGAACCCTGATGGTCAGGTACAGGGATGCATGAGCAAGGTTGCTCTCCCTCACCTGGCCTCCATGTCCACGATGTGCAGGGTGTCTTCCAGGAGGCAGGTCTTGAGCTCATAGTCCTCCTGGCTGCTGGCTGTCAGTGATGGGGATGCATTGACCTCCAGGAGCCACCTGCGGAGGGAAGGGAGTAGAGAATCTTAAGTGTACCTGGTCCCTGAGGCCCCTGGAATTTCACTGAGAGGCTAGATAGGGTGCCTGGGTCTCACCCTCAATTCAACCAGGGCTGCTCTCGCCACATTTCCATTTGAAGAAAGCGTTCAGGGGCTAAAACTTTCTTTTATTAATTAAATTAATTAATTAATTGATTGATTTTTGGCTGCATTGGGTCTTCGTTGCTGCGCGCAGGCTTTCTCTAGTTGCAGCGAGCGGGAGCTACTTTTTGTTGCGGTGCGCAGGCTTCTCATTGCGGTGGCCTCTCTCGTTGTGGAGCACGGGCTCTAGGCGCGCGAGCTTCAGTAGTTGTGGCACGCGGGCTCAGTAGTTGTGGCTCGCGGGCTCTAGAGCGCAGGCCCAGTAGTTGTGGCACACAGGCTTAGCTGCTCCGCGGCATGTGGGATCTTCCCGTACCAGGGCTCAAACCCGTGTCCCCTGCATTGGCAGGCGGATTCTTAACCACTGCGCCACCAGGGAAGCACAAAACTTTTGAAGACAACTGTCACAAACTTGGGCAGTTCCCACAGGGTCCAGCTGGTGACTTATATGAAGCAAGTTGGTGGGGGTAAGAATGATTTTGCTGCCCTCACGCTTGTTATCGCTTTTCCTTCTTTCAAAAGAGCTGTGAGTACAAGAAAAACTCCTTTCCTAGTGAAACTTTGCCCATAAATGGTAACCAGCCTGACACATCAGGGGGTGGGGAGTAGCAGGGAGGGGTAGGGACTGTGGTGAGCCGGAAAGAGCATTCCATGTCTAAAGGGGTGGCTATGGAGGCTCTAGGAGAGCGTTGCCCTGTGAAAATGTGAACCCAGAATTGCAAGATCCTCTGACTCTTCCAGAAAAGCCAAAAAATCCAGGTTTTTGTGTAAACGTCTTCCAGTTATTGGAGACTGTCAATGAAAATCAACCAAATGCAAAAACATCGGGAAGGCCAAACTCAAAGTGTCCTCAGGCCAGAAGCAGCCCAAGGGCCGCCAGCCTGCAGCCGCTTGTTTTGTGCAACCCTGTCATTTTACAGACAGGAATCTGGGGCACAGAGAGGGCAGGGCTCACCCAGCAGGTCAGTGTGAGACTAGGGCCCCCTTTCCACTATCTCCTGCCTCCTGCCAAGCTTGTTTCCCCTTTCAGTGTCCACTTTAATGCCCATAGCACATCTTGCATCCCTGGGGGCAAGGGAGAGAGACCCGCTGGTGCCCGGCCCCTGTTTCTCTTGAACTTGGGCCCGACTTAGGTCTTGCTCTAGGGCTCCTACTCCTAGCTCAGAAAGCCCCTCAACAGCTATACAGTGACCCTGGGGAGGGGGTTGGGTCCAGGAACCTCAGTGCTCTGGGAGCAGCTCAGCCCAGGAACATGGACCCTGGGCCTGGCTCGGCCCTTGACTTACTGCATGACCTCAAGCTGCCTCAGCAACCCCACTGGGCTTCTGTGCCCTGCTGTATCACGTAAGGGCCATCACTGTGTTCCCTGATAGCTCAGGTTTGTTCTGCTCATCAGCTCAGCCTCCTCGTGGGCACTGGGAGGGCACAAAATTCTTAGCAGGGATCGACATGGTACCAGTACTTCCTTACATGGCACTTTGCATCCTCAAAGCACCAGGGCTAACAGAGGCGAAGCTTCTTGCCTGATAGGAGGGGAGGATCGCTGACTCAGCAGATGCTCAGGAAAGGCCTCAGTGCCAGGCATGGGGCTCAGTACCTCACTTCCTCCTCATAACAATCTTACAGGCAGAGTGACCGTTTTATTTTATTTTTTAATCTTTTTTGGCCGCACCGCGCGGCATGCAGGATCTTAGCTCCCCGACCAGAGATCGAACCCGTGCCCCCTGCAGTGGAAGCGCAGAGTCTTAACTGCTGGACCGCCAGGGAAGTCCCACAGTGACCATTTTATAGACAGGCAAGCTGAGGCACAGAAAAAGAAAGTGTGCCCCACTGGGAAGTGGCAGAGCTGAGCTCAAACCGGGCAGTCTGTGTGCAGAGTGTGTAAAACATCCCTCCAGGCTCTCCGGGCCGCGAGCCCATCCACTTACGGCTTGAGGTCCTGGTCTATGAGGATGTCGTAGCCGTACAGCTCGAAGCAGTGCTTGTCGCTGATGATCGCCTTCTGCACGCTCTGCAGGCTTCTGATGAAGATGTTGTCCATGTCACTGAAGAGCGTCTCCACTGCCTTGGGCCCATGCTTGGATGCCAGATACTGCCGGAAGCGCTGCAGCATCCACTTGCAGCCCTGGGACCCCGCCGCCGGGTTGGGAGAGGGAGCCTCGGTCAACCCAGACCTGGCCCGTCCAGACCATCATTTACCATCAGCACAGCCCCTAGGCTTGGACGAGAGGGTCCCAGCCCTGAGTCCTGTGATTAGGAGAACCCCAAGTGTGTCCCTCCTTGAGGGGCAAAGATTCTACACGCCCAAGAGCCTGTGCCTCTCTTCCTAGAGCACAGCCTGCTATCCACCACCCCAGAAGTCCCTGACCAAATGCCCTGCGCCAGCTTCCTCCCTGGGTCTGCCCTTATGCAGACAGACTGCCCTGACCATGTGTGCACCCCAAGGCCCAGGGAGTCACCAACAGCTTGCTGTTTTGGGTGTGTGTGTGTGTGTGTGTTTGAAGGAAACCCCTCGGGGTGATGGGGAGCTGGGGACCATCTCTTCCTGGGCTCTTCTGTTCTGGCTTTTAACTCTGAGAAGTCTGAGTGTTCTAAGTATGAACCTGGCCTTGCAGGTTATTAGATAGATAGATGATAGATAGATGATAGGAGTATATCTGTCAAGGTAGGGGGATACAACACATTTTTTTAAAGGGTGTGTTCGTTTGATTTGTAACTCTTAAATATTTGGACACATGATGTGTGGGCCTCCATTTGTACTCTTGCCCTGGGCCCTGCAAACGGGAAGGGTGATCTGAACTCTCTTGGGCTCCTTGGCATCCCTCCTCCTCCCCCCAGCGCAGTCCCAGAGGCCATACCCGGAGGGCAGAAGCCCAGGTTCCTCACCTTTGGGTGGTAGTCGGGAGACGTCTTTTGCACGGCGACATTGGTGAGGTGAACATCTGGTAGAGATTAGTGGTCAAGGGCCAGTGCGGACAAGAAGGCGCTGAGCCCTACGCCAAGTAGCCCCCAGGGACCAAACTGAGACCCTTGCTTGGGAAGTGATGGGGGAAGGCTACCAAACAAGCCCAGAGGTCACGTGCGGGGGCTTTGGAGTCAGATGGGCTCGCGCCCCTGAGCAAGTCACTTAACCTCTCTGAGCCTGTTTCCCCACCTACTAAATGGGGGCGTGTAGTAGTATATTGACCTCACAGGGTTATCTGAAAAATCAGATAAGATGCTGTGTAGAAGCGCCTCTTACAGTGCCTGGCGTGGCTGATATTAGATTAGGGTTGTTCCACTCAAGAGGAGAGAACACTTTCTAACACGTAGAAAGGCCAGGCACAGAACAGCCATCTCAGGACATTCTGAGCTCTCTGTCACTAGAGGGGTTCAGGCTGGGTGGCCACTTTGCAGGAATATCAGAGAAGTGACCCAGCATTGGGATGGGATCAAGTTGGCCACCTTTGAAGTCCCAGCCCTGAGAGTCTGCCTTTCGGTATCATTACCATCGTCACCACCAGTGACATCGGCAACACTTGGAAGCTTACAGAGCATGCTCACACACTTCAGCTCATGTATTCCCCAAATCATTCCCATCTCGCAGAAGAGAGCTTCGAGGCTCAGAGAGGATGACAGCCACTCAGAATACCCCTTCTCAACATTCTCCTCCACATAGCTAAGTAGGATGGATCCCCAAAACCTTGTGTAGTGACAAGACATAACTTTCACTTGGACTTGTTGGTGAGACAGGCTGAGACCTTTTGCTGCAGTGCTTGCACCTGGATACACAGAAACTATAAGGGACTAAAAATAACTGCATGCATGCGCAGTTGGGGCAAGTTATGGACAACAAGATACAAAGAGACCAAAAAGCCCAACTGCCACTTCTGAAGAGCCAGGAGCAAAAGCAGAGGGTCGGGAGCAAAAGCAGGGTATTGCACATGCCCCCTACACACCACCACCACCAAAGCGTTGGGCAAACCACCGAAGCCACCCTTCTGGCCCGACCCCTGGACACACCCCTACCCTCATCCCATATAAGGAACCAGCTCCCCCCACCTTGGTGAGTAAGGGAACTTGTTACTTGTTCTTGCCCCCCACTGCTGCAGCAGGGGCCCCAATAAAGCCTTGGCTGAATTTCTTCTCTGGCCTCTGATCAATTTCTATTGATTGAGGAGGCCAAGAACCCTGGTTGGTAACATTGGGACATTTCACAGATGCGGAGGTAGAGGCTCTAGGTCACTGACCCAAGTCTAATTCCCCTAACACGTATGTTTCTCCATATTTGTGACATATTGGACAGGGCTTCAGCCTCTCCAGAGAAGTTGGGTATTCTCTGTAGCACCATTTTCCTAGAATGTCTTCTTTGGGGCTTTTCAAAGACTTTTTTTTTTCACATTTGTCTGAGAGATTTTCTGCCTTAATTTCAAAAGAATAAGCACATAACAAACCACTAAAAGGAAGGGAGCCCTTACATTTTTGGTCAATTGATTTTCGAAAAGGGTGCCAAGACAACTAAGTGGTGGGAAGCAAAGTATTTCCAACAAATGGGGTGGGGATGCCTGAATATCCATGTGTGAAAGAATAAAGTTAGACCCCTTTCTCATACCATAGACAAAAATTAACTCCAAATGGACCACAGACCTAAATATAAGAGCAAAAACTATAAAGCTTTTAGAATAACATTTAGGAATAAGTCATTGCAACCTTGGGTTAGGCAGAGCTTCTTAGCTGTGACAACAAAAACACAGGTGAAATACATGCAGAAAAAACTTTTGACAAAATTCAACACTGATTTATGATTTAAAAATTCTCCAGAAAGCGGGCATAGAGGGAACCTACTTCAACATAATAAAAGCCATATATGACAAACCCACAGCCAACATCATTCTCAATGGTGAAAAACTGAAAGCATTTCCTCTAAGATCAGGAACAAGACTCTCACCACTATTATTCAACATCATTTTGGAAGTTTTAGCCACAGCAATCAGAGAAGAAAAAGAAATAAAAGGAATACAAATTGGAAAAGAAGAAGTAAAACTGTCACTGTTTGCAGATGACATGACACTATACATAGAAAATCCTAAAGATGCCACCAGAAAACTACTAGAGCTAATCAATGAATTTGATAAAGTAGCAGGATACAAAATTAATGCATAGAAATCTCTTGCATTCCTATACACTACAAATGAAAAATCAGAAAGAGAAATTAAGGAAATACTCCCATTTACCATTGCAACAAAAAGAACAAAATACCTAAGAATAAACCTACCTAAGGAGGCAAAAGACCTGAATGCAGAAAACTATAAGACACTGATGAAAGGAATGAAAGATGATACAAACAGATAGAGAGATATACCATGTTCTTGGATTGGAAGAATCAACATCGTGAAAATGACTATACTACCCAAAGCAATCCCTATCAAATTACCAATGGCATTTTTCACAGAACTAGAACAAGAAATTTTATAATTTGTATGGAAACACAAAAGACCATGAATAGCAAAAACAATCTTGAGAAAGAAAAACGGAGCTGGAGGAATCAGGCTCCCTGACTTCAGACTATACTACAAAGCTACAGTAATCAAGACAATATGGTACTGGCACAAAAACAGAAACATAGATCAATGGAACAGGATAGAAAGCCCAGAGATAAACCCATGCACCTATGGTCACCTTATCTTTGACGAAGGAGGCAAGAATATACAATGGAGAAAAGACAGCCTCTTCAGTAAGTGGTGCTGGGAAAACTGGACAGTTACATGTAAAAGAATGAAATTAGAACACTTCCTAACACCATACAAAAAAATAAACTGAAAATGGATTAAACTTACCTAAATGTAAGGCCAGACACTACAAAACTCTTAGAGGAAAACATAGGCAGAACACTCTATGACATAAATCACAGCAAGATCCTTTTTGACCTACCTCCTAGAGTAATGGAAATAAAAACAAAACTAGGGCTTCCCTGGTGGCACAGTGGTTGAGAGTCCGCCTGCCAATGCAGGGGACACGGGTTCGTGCCCTGGTCCGGGAAGATCCCACACGCCGCGGAGCGGCTGGGCCCGTGAGCCATGGCTGCTGAGCCTGCACGTCTGGAGCCTGTGCTCTGCAAAGGGAGAGGCCACAACAGTGAGAGGCCCGTGTACCGCAAAAACAAAACAAAAACAAAAACAGAAATAAACAAATATGACCTAATGACACTTAAAAGCTTTTGCACAGCAAAGGAAACCATAAACAAGACAAAAAGACAACCCTCAGAATGGGAGAAAATATTTGCAACCGGAGCAACTGACAAAGGATTAATCTCCAAAATATACAAGCAGCCCATGCAGTTCAATATCAAAAGAACAAACAACCCAATCCAAAAATGGGCAGAAGACCTAAATAGACATTTCGCCAAAGAAGATATACAGACTGCCAACAAACACATGAAAGGATGCTCAACATCATTAATCATTAGAGAAATGCAAATCAAAACCACGATGAGGTATCACCTCACACCTGTCAGAATGGCCATCATCAAAAAATCTACAAACAATAAATGCTGGAGAGGGTGTAGGGAACCCTCCTGCACTGTTGATGGGAATGTAAACTGATACAGCCACTATGAAGAACAGTATGGAGGTTCCTTAAAAAACTAGAAACAGGGCTACCATATGACCCAGCAATCCTACTAGTGGGCATATACCCTGAGAAAAACCATAAGTCAAAAAGATACATGTACCACAATATTCATTGCAGCACTATTTATACAATAGCTGGGACATGGAAGCAACCTAAGTATCCATCAACAGATGAATGGTTAAAGAAGATGTGGCACATATATACAAGGGAATGGTACTCAGCCATAAAAAGAAACGAAATTGAGTTATTTGTAATGAGGTGGATGGACCTAGAGTCTGTCATAGAGTGAAGTAAGTCAGAAAGAGAAAAACAAATACTGTATGCTAACACATATATATGGAATCTAAAAAAAACGGTACTGATGAACCTAGTGGCAGTGCAGGAATAAAGATGCAGATGTCGAGAATGGACTTGAGGACACGGGGGGAGAAGGGGAAGCTGGGATGAAGTGAGCCGGTAACATTGACAAATATACACTACTAAATGCAAAATGGATGGCTAGTGGGAAGCTGCTCCATAGCACAGGGAGATCAGCTCAATGCTTTGTGACAACCTAGAGGGGTGGGGTAGGGAGGGTGGGAGGGAGGCTCAAGAGGGAGGGGATATGGGGATATAAGTATACATATAGCTGATTCACTTTGTTGTACAGCAGAAACTAACACAGCATTGTAAAGCAATTATACTCCAATAAAGATGTAAAAAAAATTATATTGAGATTTAAGAAAAAGCACAGGTGGCAATAAAAAAGTAGATAAATTGGACTTCATCAAAATTAGAAACTTTTGTGTTTCAAAGGACTTTATGAAGAAAATGAAAAGGCAGTGCGCAGAGGATTTTTAGGGCAGTGAAATCACTCTGTATGATACAATATGATGGATACATATCATTATACGTTTGTCCAAACCCATAGAATGTACAACCTTAAACTATGGACTTTGGGTGATTATGATGTGTCAACATCGGTTCATCAATTGTAGCAAATGTACCACTCTGGTGAGTGGTGTTGATAGTGGGGGAGGCTATGCACACATGGGGGAAGGGGTATATGGGAAATCTCTGTACCCTCCTCTCAATTTTGCTATGAACCTAAAACTGCTCTAAAAAATAGTCCTAAAAAAAAAAGGACAACCAGGGACTTCCCTGGCAGTCCAGTGGTTAAGAATCTGCCTTCCAATGCAGGTGATGCAGGTTTGATCCCTGGTTGGGCAACTAAGCCTGCACGCCACAACTAGAGAGAAGCCTGCGCACTGCAACGAAGAGCCCGCGCTGCAACAAAAAGATTCTGTGTGCCTGCAACCAAGACCCGACCCAAAAATAAATAAATAAATAAATA